GGCCCCACATTTTGCTCAGCTGGCTCCTGCAGCCGTGCATTTTCCAGGCAGTTATGAAGACAAATTCAGCATTATTCTGGCACAGCCCTATTGAGTTCTCTCAGCAGAGCTGAGCGTGGGACAGAGGGAGGATCTTGTATGTGACCCCCCTGCTGCTGTCCCACCTGGGGGATTCATTTCTCTTTCTTTTAGAAAGTTGACTACATTTTTGTCAAGATTCTTTCTGATCAAATTAGTAGAGGAAGAAGTGACTTTTCAAGAGGGGAGAGGGCTAGATGCCTGCCTGTGGTCCAGTCCATCGCTGGTTTACATGAATTTCAGTGCACAAACTCTAGTTTATTTACTAAACTCCTAAACAAAGTCAGTCCTTGATTTATCGCAAACACAGAGCTGGGGTTTGCAAGCTGCTGTATGTTAGTAGTATTGTTGTGGGGGTTTCCGCATAAAGGAAATTTCCTTCCCGGTGTTGCTTCAAGATAAGTTGGATTCTCTATTATCAATACTGCTGTTAGAGTGGCTTCCGTTTTCCTGCTGCGCATGTTTTGCATATTGCAGATTTCTCTTTACCCTTGGGAAATGTTTTCACAAGCTGTAGGACACTTGGAGCTCCACCCGTATCCTCTAGTTTTAATTAATCTTCAAAGTCTAAAACTGTGTTTTTGAAAGTATGAAGGACATTTGTCAAAACGATCACATGAGATTCATAAATAGTGCTTTCAGGGCTGCCCATCGCTGATGTTAAATCACTGGTATCTCATGGATGCACCTGGCTCTTAGTGTGCAGGTTTTTGCACAGTGCTGTATGTTAAAAGAGTCATAGTTGTGTGCTTAGCCGAATTGTCAGAGCTGTAAGTACTGCTTTTCTGTATGTATGCTTCTTTCTCTGGAAGATACTACCAAAATTCATTGGTTTTGATTTCTGCATGTTTTTACCTGAAACCCCAGAGCAGAAAAATACAGTTTATTGGTTTGAAAGGGTTAGTAAAAGTCTTGCAAAAACCTGCAGTCATTGTGAAACACCATGTAGAAATAATCAGGAGACGTTTTAACATGACCATCCCCAGCCACACCACTTTCCTAACGGGCTTGTTTTGCTTTCCCACGTTGTGGGAGTGCAACAGGAGTTAAGTGATGCAGGGGTAAGAGCGGCGGCGCCTTCTCCCTTCTGGTCTTTCTGTCACTAATAGTGTCAGTGGTATTGGAGAGCTGCATTCTGCCTGTGCCAAGTGCATGATAAAGAGCATCCTTCCTGGGTGACCAGCCCGTTAGGAGACTGAAGGAGCTGCTGTGTCCCTTCAGTGGCATTTTCCTGAGATATGTTGCTGGTTGTCCCAAAAAGCTGGCAGTGAGCGCGTGGAAGCCTGGCTCTTGCATGGCGTCACAAGGTTTTCCCACGGGGCTGGAGCCTGCACCCAGACCAGCCAGGGGTCTCACTGATTTTGGCCATTCCTACTGTGAATTGGAGGGAGGAGGAGAGACGGGAAGAAAATGAAAAGCCATTAACGGCTACAGCAATGAAGTTGCTCAAACACCTGAAGAGCTGACAAGTAGGCTCAGAATGTGGAATTAGTGCCAAAACCATTGCAGCTGTGGTCTCAGTAGAGATTTTCACGCTATTTTTGTCTAGGGAGGAGGACAGTGCCGCAGAGGATGGGTGGGGATCAGGTGAGAGGAGCGAAGATGAGAGCGAGCACAGGGCGGGTGCAGGGGTGAGGAGCCAGAAAAACCAACGGAGCCCTTCAGCCTCTCAGCATAAACAGGAAACAGAGGACCACAGAGAGCGAGACAGAGGAAACGGGAAGGCAGAAGGGGAGAGGCAGCAACTGCGTTTGAACTAGGCTAAAGAAACATGCATAACAGCACCGAGCATCAGCTACTGAAGCCCAGCGGGCCTCCAGCAGGATGGGGAGAGCCTGTGGGCTGTGACCCCATCTGCTCCCTCACTAATTCGGTGCTGAGGCAATGCAGAAGAAATGAAGTCACTGGGACTTTCTCAGGGCCTTGTCCCTCAATCCCCACCGCCTGAAAAAAGCACTTTCACGTCCTCTTTTAGGGCTACCGGTTGTGCTGGGGTAGGGAAGCCTTTCTGGGAGAGTGACCCTTGGGCCACATCAGCACCATCCGCAGAAGGGACCCGTCTTCCCCCTCCTGAAAGGGATGGCTGGAGCTGGCTGATCTGTTGGCTTCCTTTGACTTGCTTTCAACAACAGAACATCCTAAGCTGGTATGAATGAATACAACAGCAGCAAAGTTTTCACAACCTGACTTAGCATTTCCCATGTCATGTCTTTAATCTGTTCAAAATTAGGTTCTGACGCTTCATCTTCTTTTACAAAAACCACATGGATGTCCTTTTCCTGCCTGTTACTTCTGTCGTGATCCCAGTTTGGGAGGATTGTTGGTAACCATAACTTTTGATCAAAGATTTTTAATGGATGGTGTCATTATGATATTTGATAGCTTTTTTTTGTTTTACATAATATTTTCTACATCCAGCTCTATTTTTAGGATCCTGTACATCTGTACTTCTCTTAGGAATGAATGTAACTGCAGGGATCTCTTAATGTTGTACTTCTGTATAGAGACTACCCTGGTTAAATAAACAAACTTGCTGAGCTGTTTTGGGGCTTGATCAAGCTGGTGAAGGCAGATGTGGTAATTTCTGTTGGAATTTTCTTTAAAAAGCACCAACTCTTGCAAGGTTTCTCTTCTGTGACTCGTTTCAAAAAAATACTTCAACTAAAAACATGGATTACTAGACCAGCAGATAAGCAGGTGCAGCATTGCCTGGAACTTGCTATACATAGTTCTTAAAATATATATTTAAGATTAGTAGACACTATATTTAAATCATTACTTTGACAGACAACTATTTCCACTGGTCAGATGCATTGGGTTTTTCTTCTTTGGTCCAAGATAGAACAAGCTATATTGTTACGCCACTGCTACGAATTGCAACATGGTTAGGAGACACTGCAGCTTTTGACAGCAAAGGTGATATTTATTTTTCTAGTATTGCCTTGCTATGACAAGGTTTGGGCTTTCTAACCAGCTGGCCATTCTCCTGTTCGCACAGTGCTTCTTAACGATGCACCAGGGAGCCCAGAGGTGCTGGCGCTGGGATGTTCTGGCAGCGTGGGGCAGAGCAGGGGGCAGAGGTGTGGGCACCCGAGGGGGCAGACTCTGCCGCTTCTGAGAAACTGCGGTTAGCTCCTCCCTGTGCACTGGAAAGCAAGCCGCAATTTTTGCTAATTTCCTGTTCACTTCCTATATCGTAGCAATCCTCTGCTTCGTTCAGAGTGAGGACAAACGAGTAGCGCAAACTGTCAGTTCATTTAAAGTGTCTTGCTGTTTTATCACAAAACCCTCTTTTTTACATCTTTCCAAGCCCCATTTTTTAATTTCACAGCTTATAGGTAGGTAAAAGCTGTGACGAATGTCAGAGTTTCAGTGCATTATCTCTGGTCACATCCTGCCACATGGTCGGGTAGCAAGAATACATTCAGAAGTATATGGGAGGAACTGAAATCTTAGGGTGGAGTTTATGTAATTGGGCAAACTGCCACTGAAGTGCTGCTCTGCTCTCCCACTCCCTGTCAGATTCCTCCTCCTTGCCACCACTCTATGATTTCTTTTCTTACTGTCTTTTTTTTTCTTGTTTCACAACTTTTTATCCTCTTCAGCCTCAGCTTCTTTGTCATTCCTTGTCACACAATCAGGCTTTTGCTGCTGTCCCCAAGGTCCTGGTGGTGTGGAGGCTGTAACTGGTGATGAACGTGCTGGGATCATGCACCCACCACGCTGCACTGCCGGGAAGGGAGCACATCCTTCCTTTTGAAGAACAGCACCCACTGAAATCTGGGGTAGTCAGATAGAAACTATGCGTTGATCTGCACCATCATTAACGTTTTCTGTTTCAAACAGTGTACTCGAGTTTCGGAGCTGGACGTGTTACGTTTTAGATTAGGATTTACCAGTCTCCATGTCCTGTTTCTGAACATGCCAAGAACTTTAAAGACACCTGATGGGAGGTTTAGATGCTCACCTGCTTGGAAGAGCAGACTGCTTTCAGTCCTATGTCTCATTATGGACTTTGGGGTCCAAGTTGGAGCACCTGTGTTTTGACAGATTTGGTCTGTAGTAGTTCCCAGCTCCATGAAATGACTTTTTTGCTAACAAGGAAGGGCTTCATCCAGAGCATTTGGTAGAAAAATTTGACCACAAGGATGTGTGATATTTTCTGTCTGAGAGTGCTTGGCTTGGCAGATGGCTGTTTAGCAGTTTCTGAATTAATGTGGACAGTATGAGCCAGTGCATTAAAAGAGCTCTTGTAGCCAATATTTTCATGTATAAACAGTTGTGAAAGACTCTGGAAAGGGAAGGTGGAAAAACCCCTTTTTTCTATGGCCTTAAGTAAACACAAGTCTACTTCAAACATGCAGTTATGGAAAAGTTCATAAATGCAGTTACAAATGTTGAATCTGCAAATAAGTATTGTAATGAGAAGGGAAAAAAGTAAATGGGAAGCTTTGGTATCTGCTCTCTGTGTACCTATATTAATCCAAAGTGACTTCTTGTATTCCAGGGGATCTGTTGTGGATTTGTGTGCATATTCGAGAGCAGAAGGTGACCTGTTCTTCCAGTGGTGGAAGATAACTCTTGATCAAGCTACTGGATAGTTTGATCAGTCCAAAGGGGCTTTTACATTGTAGCTCTGCAACAGACCTCTTTACACCTTGAGAAAGCTGCTTATCTGAGCAGCAAGTAAGTCTGCAATCTATAGTTCAGATTTATTCCTTAGATAGTAACTCAGTAAAATTCCCACAGGCATTAGAAAATGTCATAAAAAAGGAAGAAAGGTGAATTTTCAGAGAAACGTCCCAGTTTCTTCAGTGACTCTGCTAAGAAAAGACATACCTTTCATCTAATGTTAGACATGTTTGAACATTACATTTTCACTGTAATTTATTTTGAGTAACATTATGTTGTTTTCCGAACAGATGAACGTGAGGCAGTTCAGAAGAAGACTTTCACAAAGTGGGTTAATTCCCATTTGGCACGTGTATCATGCAGAATTACAGATTTGTACACTGACCTTCGCGATGGAAGGATGCTCATCAAACTTCTGGAAGTTCTTTCAGGAGAGAGACTTGTAAGTGTTTATTAATATACATTGTGGGGTTTTTGTTTTGGTTTTGGGTGGTTTTCTGGTGAATCCTTGGTTCAACTGAAGTACAGCAAAACTGAGTACTGAGGGTTCAGCACTGCAAGTGTCTTTTTATGTATTAAAGGAAAAAAAAAGTATTGCTTCAGCTGGATACAGACACCATTAAAATGTCTTCCTGTTGGTTTCAGTAGGAATCAAAGGAAGTCTCTTTCAAAGGTGAGATGCTGAGTGCTTCTAGCAGCATGCTGCCTGCTCCTGAGTCTGACAGGCACAGAGCACTAAATGCTCTCCAGCCCCTTAGACTGTCTCAGTAGTGGTGAATTAGATGTGCTGAGGAACGTTCCTGGGTGACGTGGCCAGCTGGCCTGTTTCTGTGCTAGTAAACACAGCCGGCGGCTGCAGGTGGCTGCGTGCAGGCTGCCTGCCGGCCCCAGGCCTGGGACGTCCCTTCTCCCGTCCCTGGAGCGTGCTGGGGGCTGTGGAGGACAGCTGGCTGGAGAGGGCTAAGTCAGCCTGGGGAAGCGTTGCAGCAGTTTTAGCCATGGCGTTACTTGCACCCCACAGTTCAGGAATGCTCCTGGGTGTACTTGATTTTACTCAGATAGATAAGGCTGGGATTTTCTTTGGTTAGGGGAACATCTAAAATTAATTCAAATAAATGGGGCCAATTCTTTCTTTGGGTATGATGAGAGAGTCCCCTTGATACCCGCACAAGGGAATGGTGAGTAAGAAAATCCCTGTAGTGAAAAATGCTGCTAGATGACAGGAAAACTGGCTGTCAGGAAATGGCTGGTTATTGGTTTTTTGTAGAATCATAGAATCATTAAGGTTGGAAAAGATCTCAAGGATCATCAAGCCCAACTATCAACCCACACCACCTAACTCACTAAACCATGTCCCAAGCACCACATCTACATGTTTCTTTTCTAATATCCAGCCCAAACCTCCCCTGGCACAACTTGAGGCCATTTCCTCTTGTCCTATCACTTGTTACTTTAGAGAAGAGGCCAGCACCCACCTCACCACATCCTCCTTTGTCCCCTCCAGTCCTTCCTTTTGCGAGGCTAACAAACCCCAACCCCCCCCAGCCGCTCCTAAGACCTGTGCTCCAGACCCGTCACCAGTTTCGTTGCCCTTCTCCGGACCTGCTCCAG